CTTGGATAAGTAATTTTAATCTGATTACTGGTTTGGAAATAGTAACGCGTTAAATTACTCGTTACTGAAAAAAGTTACCGGCATCACTGCTGTCAAGGGCCCCGTTCCTGTCCAGTGACGCAAGATCGGCAGTGTTTGAGGGGCCCCTAATTGGCACGGGGCCCTGGGGGGACCGCACCCAAGTACCCACGCTATATCCGCTACTGCATGGGAGGGAGGGTCTAGCTAGCCTCCGTTTTGTTTGACAATACTTTAAACGTCAACAAGAAGTGACGTCACCCGACATCGCTTAGAGAACCTTTAAAGAGAGTACACTTTCATGACTTTGTTTTTTTAACAGTTAAAGGGATAGTTCCCCCCAAAATACAAATTCTTTCATAATTTTCTTTCTTCTTTGAAGGATATGGGTAACTAAACAGTTGATGGGCCCCATTCACTTCCATAGTATTTTTTCCATACAATGGAACTCAATGGGGTCCAAACTGGTTACTGACATTCTACAAAATATCTTCTTTTGTGTTAAACAGAAGACAGAAACTCATACAGGTTTGGAACAATCTGATGGTGAGTAAATGATGACATTTTTGGGTGAACGATCCCTTTAATTACACTTTAAAAAAATGCACTTAATGTCAAATTAAAAGTTTTAGTTTAAGTACATTAGTTTTAAATCATTGTTTTAATAATCTTTTGAGGTGCTTTAAAGATGCACTTATTTTGATGTGTTGACTAAAGCACAAGTATAAGGTAGGCCTACTTAATTATAATTTTAACTGAAGTGTTATTCAATATTACGTTTAAAGTTATTTTTGAAATGTAATAAATTGCAGCTTCATCATTACAAAGTATTTCAGTTTCAACAGAAATTACATTAACATATAACTAAGGGTAACACTGTATTTTACAGTCTAATTGTTACATATGTTATACTTAGTTAGTAATAAAAAGTATGTATAATTATTACATAACCCTATACTAAACCAAACCTTATAGTAAGTACATATACGTACTTAATATTACTCAGTATAAATGTGTAATTACAGTGTAACAAGGACACCTTCAAATAAAGTGTCACCTAATTTAGTTTAGCATGTCATGCAGCACATTCAACATTACACTTTAGAAATATTTCAAAGACAATAGAAGTAATTATGAAATTGCATATAAAGATGTACATAAGTGGGTCAAAAACACTCAGCTAATTGTATTTCATATAAATTTAAACTACAATGCAGTGTTTTAATTGCAAATAACATACAATTAAGTGTGTGAAAACATTAAATTCAATTCAGTGTACTTCTTTTTTTTCTTCACAAGGGCCCTGTGCTGTGTTTGTTAAAAAGAAATGAGTAAAATGATGAATAAGAGGTTTAAAATGACTGTCCGCCTGCATGTATGTCCTCTTGTTTATGAAATATGAGCTGAAAACCCGAGGTAAGCATTCTCTCTGTCCTCCATAAACTTACAAACAAGACCCTGGGAACATGGAGAGTCAACCATTCACATCAGCACAAAACAGAAGTGATTTACTGACCTGCCAGGGCAAGAGATCCTCACGAGGAAACAGTCGAATGGATCACAGACTCACATGATAATGCAAATGACAGGCAGAGATGCTGGAAGTGACAAAGTGTTGAGAACTAAGAAAGGCTAAAGTGTAAGGTAGGTCGATCAGATAGACGTCTCAGAGTGTGAACCAGAGCAAAGATGAAGATCCGTGCTATGCAGATCTGGGGATTCCTGTTAGCGGTCCTGGGCTGGATCTTTGTCTCCTGCTCCATGGCCATGGAAGGCTGGAAGATCTCCTCTATCGGAGGGCAGGGTGGGAGCTCCATCATATCCGTGGGCTGGTACTGGTCCAGTCTGTGGAGGGCCTGCTTCACCGACTCCACTTCCACATCCAACTGCTACGACTTCCCTGTGCTGTGGTCCGTGGAAGGTATGGGCATTATTAGAGTCTTTGAATCTACATGTACAATTCTTTTAATGGCTATGAGGAAAAAATACATTCATTTAATGTACTCTGAAATCTCAGATAGATAGATACAGTGGGCCGGCGATTGCTATAGGCGAACTAGGCGGTTGCCTAGGGCGACAAATGTGTTGGGGGCGCGGGTGCCCTCTAGTGTCGCCCTTGGCCTACTTCCCATTAATCATAGAATTAGAATGACAAGCGAAACAAAAACATGTTTATTAAACATGATCATCCTAAGGCGCCCCTCAGCCATACGTTTAATTACTTGTCAACCTGATTATTAGATTGAATGGATGATTATTGTCGATCATTTCCTAAAGGGGGGGCGGGGGTTAGTTGCGTTACGTTACGTTTTATGGTTACGTTAGGCAAGTGCTCGGCTGCTGCGCGCGCTGATCGAAAATGAAGCGGTCTAACGCCCGTTTCACACATACTCCGTGTGCAGTGCGTATGCGGTGCGTGTTGCGGTGCGTATGCGGTACAGGAGCAGCACGCGCTATAGTGCTTTCACATATGCTGCGTGCGTTTGCAGTGCGCAACTGATCCGCGGCTGTACCACAAACACATTTACTCACTATTTGGATTTAAAAAAATCATCAATCAAATCAAGTTATCAGCAGCAAAAGTTTTTGCCTCCAGTGCAATTCTCTTTGTAGGCCTATTCACGTTTAAAACACAATTTAAACAACGTATTATTCAATGCATTACTTTTATATAGGCCTAGATTATATATTAAGTTGCTCAAGCAAGTGGTAACATATTTAACCATGTACTTATATTAAAATCGCAAACATTTTAAATTAAAACTTAAAATTGACAAAAACAGCAGACTCATACCTTTTCTTTTGCATAATTCAAATCTGTATACAATAAATCTTGCATGTCACAAATAACTTGTTTTTCCACCTCAACGAATGAGACGAGTGTCGTTCATTATGTGGCCTTGTTGAAGTAAATTGTAGCTTTCTTTGCTTTACCCCGGTCTTAAAGTAAAAAGATGACTGTGAAAAAAGTAGTATTTAATTAAATGCATTTATGGTTTCATTTTATTTAATTAAATACATTTATGGTGAGATTACTACATTTTATTGAATTAAATGCATTTATGGTGAAATTACTACATATTCAGGTCAGTCTGTGTTCATTTTGACCACGAACCGTGCGCTGTCACTTTAATTCAGCGTTTGCAGCACAGCAGAAATAGACTCGGTGCGGAAACGATCTCTGCACTGCCACTGCTGTATACGCACCGCAACTGGAACGGATCGACGGACCGCATCCGCGTGCAGTGTGAAAGCTCTAACCTGTTAACATGGGTACGGAAAAAAATACGCACCGCATACGCACTGCAAACGGAGTATGTGTGACGCCGGGTTCACACCGGACGCTGAAGCGCCGCGGAAGCGGCGCGGAACGGAGGCCGCTTCCTTTCGGCGCCCATGTTAACCTATGGTGTCGTTCACACCAGACGCGGAGCGGCGCAGGCGGCACGCGCCGTGAAGCGCCAGTTTCGGCGTCTGGTCTATTTTTTCCGCGAGCCGCGAGTGATCCGCGTCAATTCCGGAAGGAAGTTACACCAAGAAACACTCGACTATCCGGTCAATTGTCAAAATAAAAGCAATTTTCAAATTAAAATACCGCGAGTGACAAATGCGAACACACAAACAAACAGGGAAACAACGAGAGGGAGAGGCACAAACTTCTTGGTTACAGAAACATGTTGTATTTATATTATGAGGTTATTTACTTACCCATGATGTAAAAAAAAAAATAGCTCTGAATAAACAACTGAGCAGAAGCGCTTGTCGACCTCCGCGAAGAACACGCGTCTGGTGTGAACAGGCACGCGCCGGACCGCGCGTGAATTTCCGTTCCGCGTCGCTTCAGCGTCCGGTGTGAACCCGGCGTGAAACGGGCGTTAACCCTCTGGTGCAGAGGGACGAAAACGGAGAAAGCAACAAGATAAAAAGAAAGCCCAGTATAGAGGTAAGTCTTCTCATCTCATCCATTAAGGTGTCAAATGTTCTGGCCATCGGGACAACCGGGAGATTCCCGCGGGCCCGACGTGCTTTTTGGGCCGATACATACATCTCATACTTTTATTTTTCTATTTTTGTCTTAACGGCCCATAAAACTCGTACATCGGTGGTACTCGTACTCGTACTCGTACAAAACATTCGTTTTGTTTTGTTTTGCTTAATTGGCGGCGCTGGGTTACTTCCTAATATATAACTTACTTTCAAGTATAGAAATTTGTACAATACTCATGAAAGTTTCCTTTATTTTTCAGTGCATTTGTTTTACAATATAGCCTATGGCAATTACTGTCATGGGATTAATATTATATCTATTATTATTTAGTAGTGTAATGTAGACAGACACTGTAATTAAAAGAGGTTTGAATTTTTCTTTGTTCAATTTGCACACTGAATATGGGTTGGAGCTTTTAGTTTTGAACTCTCAAAGTGCACCAGATTGATGAATTTAACATTAAAATGCACAAAATTTTCTTACGGGGAAATACCCCCGAAACCCCCTTAACCTTGTAGCAGACTAATAGATTGTAATAATAGTAGGCCTAGTGGTGGTAGTAGTTGTAATTTATCTACTAAAAGTTATTTATGGTCAGATAAAATATAGTTGTACAATGCAACTATGATATAAATATCCTTGAACGTTCTTTGTAGCATTTGTATGAACGATTTATTGTTTAAGTTTTTGAGTAACTATAAGAGCATGTTTAGTTTAATAAATAAACTAAACATGGGGGGGGGGGGGGGGGGGGGTGATGTCCGGTCTAGGAAAATTCTGTAAGAGTATTGTGATTTTGTAAGAGGATTGTGTAGTTGTGCTTGGAGTCACTTGTTTTATTTGTGATAATAATGCAATGAAACATGCTAAATTGTACAGACATCATTTTTGGCCTGGCAGCCATACAAAGAAATTATGAACACATGCAAAAACAAGAGAGAATTATTGAAACATAAATAATTGATTTTGTTCAACTTTTCCTGTGAGCTTTATA